GCGCACAACAAGGCGATCATAATCAGTGATAGCAAATTTCAGCCTAGCGGCTCCGCGGCTACACGCAGTGGGCTAGAATATCTCTAAATGTGGCCAAAAGTCAATATCCGCATTGATCTAAAATAAAGTTATTATTGTATTTAGAATGTTTGAAAATAGTTATAAGAGAAATGTTATGTTGATTGGATTGTTTTTGTATCAGTCTTAATAGGATGAAATTATAAAATACATTAACACTTTTTTTCATTTTCTTTACTTTATCGTTCATATTTTAAACAATTATATATTATTTTTTGGACTTTTAGTTAACGAATATGATGAGCGAAAATCAAGAATGAAAAATATATAAAATTGGAGGAAATAAAAATAAATTATAATATATTACATTCTCTTTTATTACATTATTACAAGTATATTAATCATAATTACTCATTCCGATTTACCATTCCCCGTAATTTCACTTTCAAGAAAGAGCATTCTAAGTTATATATGCTGCTTATGATATATATTTTAAGAAAAAAGTTTTTGTTACTTTTTGATACTTTTGTTACATAACGTAAGCAAACATATGTAAACAAATGATCGCCTATATCTAAAGGTCCGTACTGACTTGCTGATTAATATCGCAGTGTAACAGTACAGGCCTTTAGATATAGGCGATGACTTGTTTACATAAGTTTGCTTACGTTATGTGACAAAAGTATCAAAAAGTAGCAAAAACTTTTTCTTAAAATATATATCATAAGCAGCATATATAACTTAGAATGCTCTTTCTTGAAAGTGAAATTACGGGGAATGGTAAATCGGAATGAGTAGTTATGATTAATATACTTGTAATAATGTAATAAAAGAGAATGTAATATATTATAATTTATTTTTATTTCCTCCAATTTTATATATTTTTCATTCTTGATCTTCGCTCATCATATTCGTTAACTAAAGGTCCAAAAAATAATATATAATTGTTTAAAATATGAACGATAAAGTAAAGAAAATGAAAAAAAGTGTTAATGTATTTTATAATTTCATCCTATTAAGACTGATACAAAAACAATCCAATCAACATAACATTTCTCTTATAACTATTTTCAAACATTCTAAATACAATAATAACTTTATTTTAGATCAGAGCTCGACAAAAAATGCACGCGACGGCCGATTTTCGACTATCTCCGCCCACCGCTGTTCCCTTTACCTCGCCACTCCGCATGCTGCCCACAAGCCGCTCGAGCCTCAGGAGAGTGTTTCGAACAGTTTTCCACGTCACCCATGAGGTACTATTGTTGACGCGTTTTTTTTTAAGTGGTATCCCCAGTAGGCCTAATCTATAATTCTATAATCTATAATTTTTGAAAATGAAGTTTATAAAAAATGAGAAGCGTTCTTCTTTAAACGACGATTCCTTACCACGTCTTATGCGGCTCGCTACATGCAATATGCAAATTGACGTTTCCGCTCTTACTAATAAAAGACGCCGAAAATCGAATTAAATATTCTTCATTTAACATATTTTATTTCGCTTCTGTTCAATTAGTTACGGGTTGTTACAGTCATCAGTGGATTAGGCCTACTGGGGATACCACTTAAAAAAAAATACGTCAACAATAGTACCTCATGGGTGACGTGGAAAACTGTTGGAAACACGCTCCTGAGGCTCGAGCGGCTTGTGGGCAGCATGCGGAGTGGCGAGGTAAAGGGAACAGCGGTGGGCGGAGATAGTCGAAAATCGGCCGTCGCGTGCATTTTTTGCCGAGCTCTGTTTTAGATCAATGCGGATATTGACTTTTGGTCACATTTATACATTTACAGATATTCTGGCCCACTGTGTGCCACGGTCGAAAGGGAAACGCATATAAATGAAAGCCGTGTACATGTGCCACATGTATGCGGCTTTCGTTGCGCGTTTCCCCTTCCACCGTGAGACGCGGAGCCGCTAGGTTGAAATCTGCTATCACTGATCATGAGTAAGCTGTTTCGCTCAGAGTGCGACAAGGCGAACATGAATGGGCTGTCTCAATCTCGCTCAGTGCGCCAAGCGCGTGAGAAGACAGAGAAAACCGAGTGGTGGGGGTAAGCCTCGACCGTGCGTCTAAGAATTTCCAGCATTACTTGTGCCTGTGTCGCGTGTCTGCTCACTAGTGGTGAGGCAAAGTTAAAGCGATTCAATTGTTATCCTTCTCTTACTCATATATATATATATATATATATACCAGGTATGTCGGTAATTACTTTCCGGTTTTTGTAACAGATGTCATTAGCCATAAGTATGCAATGTTATGATTTGATACATGTCATTTTATTCTACTGACATTAACCTCAAAACTACACAAGTTACGTTCCAAAATAACAGCGTTATAGATTAATAATTTTTTGGAAATGTCGAGTTTTGTGCCTGAAAACATGCATTTGCGGCACGCATTACTTTTCTTGTTTGATCAAAAGAAAAAAGCCGCTGAAAGTCATCGTTTGCTGGTAGAGACTTACGGTGAGCATGCTCCAACCATAATAACATGTGAAACGTGGTTTCGACAATTCAAATGTGGTGATTTCAACGTTCAAGACAAAAAACGTCCTGGTAGGCCGAAAACGTTTGAAGATGCGGAATTGCAGGAGTTATTGGATAAAGACCCAACACAAACTCAAAAATAATTGGCAGAAAAGTTGAATGTGAGCCAAGTAGCAATTTGTGAACGATTACAAGCGATGGGAAAGATCCAAAAGATGGGAAGATGGGTGCCACATGAATTGAATGACAGGCAATTGGAAAATCGAAAAATCCTCAGTGAAATGCTGCTTCAAAGGTATGAAAGATATGAAAGGAAGTCATTTCTGCATCGAATAGTAACGGGTGATGAAAAATGGATTTATTTCGAAAATCCCAAGCGAAAAAAATCATGGTTATCACCTGGCGAAGGCGGCCCATCGACTGCAAGGCCAAATCGCTTTGGTCGCAAGACCATGCTCTGTATCTGGTGGGACCAGGTTGGTGTCGTATATTATGAACTGTTGAAACCTGGAGAAACAGTTAATACTGATCGCTACCAACAACAAATGATCAATTTGAACTGTGCATTGATCGAAAAACGTCCACAATACGCTCAAAGACATGATAAGGTGATTTTGCAGCATGACAACGCGCCGTCTCATACAGCAAAACCAGTCAAAGAAGTGTTGAAATCACTTGGATGGGAAGTTTTATCGCACCCGCCATACTCTCCAGACCTGGCTCCATCCGACTACCACCTTTTCGCATCGATGGGACACGCGCTTGCAGAGCAGTATTTCGCTGATTTCGAAGAAGTTAAAAAATGGCTCGATGAATGGTTTAGCTCAAAGGAGAAACAGTTCTTTTGGAATGGCATCCATAAATTGCCTGAGAGATGGGCAAAATGTATAGAATGAAATGGCCAATACTTTGAATGAATATATTTTAACTATCCATTGTAAATAACGTGTTTTCTTTAGCGAATAAACCGGAAAGGAATTACCGACACACCTGGTATATATACAGGGTGTCCCATTTTAATCCGGCCGGCTGAATAAAATTCGAGGATGATATTTTCCAGAAAAAAATGTCATACAAATGTTGCTCAGTTCTAAGGGGGACATTCGATGCCATCAACAATTTTGACCTCGGGTGAAGGGTTCAAGGTCATTCAAGGTCAACATTTTTTTCTTAAATGGGAATCCCTATTTTTCACATCGGCAATCGATTCTACGTAAAAAAAATGAAACTTTTGTCTGAAGCATTTTTTTTATAACGCAAACTAATTTCACTTATTCAGCCTCCAAAATTGAAATTTTCTGAATTTTTTACTCGAGAATAGTGGGGTTTGGGGGGAAATTGCAGAAGACAGAAAGTTCTTGGAATGCTGCAAGGAATTCACTCGAATTTTCGCATGCCGAGGGTACTGGACATGATAAGATAAGAGATTTTTTCCAAACATTGGCGGAAAAAAGTGCACGATCAACTATGCGAAAATTCGAGTGAATTCCTTGCAGCATTCCAAGAACTTTTTGTCTTCTGCAATTTCCACTCAAACCCCACCATCCTCGAGTAAAAAATTCAGAAAGTTTGAAAATTTCAATTTTGGAGGCTGAATAAGTGAAATTAGTTTGCGTTATAAAAAAAATGCTTCAGACAAAAGTTTCATTTTTTTTTTACGTAGAATCGATTGCCGATATGAAAAATAGGGGTTTCCATTTAAGAAAAGAAAGTTGACCTTGAATGACCTTGAACCCTTCACCCGAGGTCAAAATTGTTGATGGCATCGAATGTCCCCCTTAGAACTGAGCAACATTTGTCTGACATTTTTTTCTGGAAAATATCATCCTCGAATTTTATTCAGCCGGCCGGATTAAAATGGGACACCCTATATATATATATATATCATTTTCACTATAGTCTGTTTTAGTAGGTCGGACATTAACCCGACTCAAATCATAGACATAAACCTCGTATCGTTACCGACATATCGAGTTAGTTGACATCTATTTTCTCAGGGGGCGTATCAGGACAGACATATGCTTTCGCCCGGTGGTCGCTCTCAGGTTTCTCTCTGGTGTAAGTTTGTGCGCGATTCCGTGTTTCTCAAACCTGCAATTATAGGCGTGCCACAGACACGAACCGCCAGTAAATGGGCGTAGAACGGACACGCACCAAATAGAGACTTTACCGGCAACGTCTGCAAATGAACGTAGTCAATGTAGTTCCCGGCTACAAATGGGCGCAGATGGTATTAAAATCAGTCGTGAAAATGCATGTCGCCCAAAACGCCAGCGTGGTCGCTCTTAGGCCTGGTCTACAATACGTGTCGTAAGTTGTAAGTCGTAACAATTGGCGAATCACAGTCGATTATTACAAAAATAATCGGCTATAATTGGTCAGTTTTTACGGCTTACGACTTACGACACGTATTGTAGAATGAACTTAAAGGTCATTCTACAATGAGGTTGTATGCAGTAGTATGCAGTAGGCAAATTGACCAATCACGATCGATTGTTCTCTTTACGATCGAAGAATAATCGACTATGATTGGTCAATTTGCCTACTGCATACTACTACAACCTCATTGTAGAATGACCTTTAGATTTCTCTCTGCCATCGTCTTCCCCTGTTCCTCTCCATATAGATACGTGTTGATACGTGTATTTAATTTATCACAATATGCGTATTGAGACATGTTATTTCTGTTCGTCCCGGATTTATCCGGGACACGGTATTCAGTTTGTGAGAAATGATTGTAAGGTGAGTATTATTTTTATTATTATTAATTTATTATACGAACAATGAATTTAAAAAGTTTGAAGAAAATTATTACATGCGTAACGAGTCATCAGTACTGATGTTAGGTTATACAACTTGTAAATATCTAACTTATCATTTTTCTTTGTAATGTGAAAATGTAAGCTAGTATACCTTTTTGGAAAAGAAACAGTACAATTGAGACTTATTGGAGAAAAGAAAGAAGAAATGATGCATTTAGCTCAATAATAAAGAATGAATCTGTGATATTTCTGAACATCAAATTAGATGTCAATTTTATGCCATTATTAATGTGTAGTTTATATTCTTAAAATTAGTAATGCCTAGCAAAGCTGGATGAGTGAAAAAATTAACTTTTATGTTCTGATCGCTCATAAAATATGAGCTCAAAATATGGCTCATGAACTGAATTTTATTAGTGACCTGTCCAGTGGATTGACTATGACTTTTTAACTTATCATTATCCAACACATTGTTTCTGGCAGTTATTGATTATTTTCAGTGTATTTTTTTTTGTAACTGAATAGTTATGTTTTTGCAAATTACAGATATTTAAGTTCTGTCGTTCGAAATGCCATGCTGCATTCAAGAAAAAGAAGAATCCCAGAAAAGTTAAATGGACCAAAGCCTACAGAAAGACTGTCGGCAAGGAATTGGCAGTGGACCCATCATTCGAGTTTGAAAAGAGGAGGAACATGCCTATCAAATATAACAGAAAATTGTGGACTAAGACAGTGGAAGCAATGAAGAAAATAGAAACCATCAAGCAAAGGCGACAGAATCTTCACATTATGCAACGATTACGCAAGGGACGGGAATTGGAACAGGAAGTAGATATTAAGGAAGTTCAACGTGATTTGTCTCTTATCCGTTCGCCAGCAATTGGTCTTAAGGATAGGATGAAACAGGAAGAAGCAAATGAGGAACATGAACAAATGGAAACATCCAGCGATGAAAATGAAATGGAAGAAGTTGAAGTAAATTAAATTATTATATGAATTCTCCTTTATTTATCCTTTATTATTATTATGAATTTATCCTTTATTTTGCACTAATTGTCTCCAATATGTAGTAGAAATTCAGAGACCTGCAAAATATTCATATCAATACATACACACATAGACATAAGTGCAGACATTAATTAATCTTTCTGTAAACTAAGAAACTCTATAGGTTCTCTCAATATTTATATACATAACAAAAAGAAGAAAGACTATTGATGATACAAAAACTTAGAAAATTTTATTTGTTAAGGAAACTTATACATAAATATAAACTAGAAGTTATATTAAATGTTTACTACTTAACTATACATTTATTACATCGTATTTTCAATACCATAAGAACTCCTTGAAGTTAAGTTTCTCACACGATAATGAGTTCTCTCTCTCGGCTTTAAGTTTTCTTCTTTATTGATAAAATACTGTGAGATTCATGAGAACTTCTATAGATAGCATCACCAAGAAACTATAAGCTATTTAAGGGTCTACAGGAGCCTACTAGAGACCCACGAACTAGGCAAAATTATATTGCAAATTATGAACAAAATACGAAGAGAATCACCTTATATGTATGATATTTGTAATCAGGAGAAACGTCCGCATGCTCGTACAGAGCGCTTTTTTGGAAAAAAGGTCTGAATAAAAATCGAATAAAAATTTTGAATGAAAGTGCATCCCGCGGTGCAGCACGAGTCTATATTTCCATTTATTACAAATTTTCAAGAACCTAAATGCAAAATCGGGCTCTGTACCGATCTAGATACTAATATAAGGAAGATACCTATGTAAATCTGATAGGCAAATATGATGTCTGCAAGACAAAATATGCTACACGGAAAAATACACTGAAAGTGTAGCCCAGCTGCACTATGGTGCAGTTTATATGACCTAACCTTCCTGCCTTGCGTTCGCGCGAGCAATGCATTAGTGTTAGCGCATATATGAGCAGTGCATAAGTATTGCCGTGTGTATGTATATGAATACCTTCCAGCTTCCACTGTAAAACATAAGATATTTTGCCACGTTGACCATATATGTAACCACCAAATTGATATGGAATATTCCTTGAACTATTATCGAGGTCCCTACAGAGCCAGATTTTACAATCCAGCCGTCCATAATTTATGAAAAATAAATGAAGTATCCGCCGTACCAAGCATCACTGCGAGTCACTCGAAATATCATTTTACGAGATGCAATATTTCGTCTCTTTGATGATACTTTGATGATATTATTATCAAATTGTTGCAGCATCTTCGTACTATTTCCGATATCGGTACAAAGCCGGATTTTGCAATCTGGTCATCAAAAATTTATAATATATAAATAAATCCATCCGTCGTCTAGGCGTTAGAGCGAATCAGTCGAGAAATGATTGTAGGAGATGCAAAATTTCACCTCGATGATATATTTAACCGCTAAATTGTTATAGCATTTTCTTTGAACTAACCCCGAGAAACCTACAGAGCCAGATTTTGCAGTCAGGCCGTGAAAAATGTATCATAAATAAATACAGATGTATGAAGCGTCGGAGCGGATCACGTACAATACTATTTTACAAGAAGAGATCCGCCTCATTGGCGATGTATGTAACCGCCAAATTTATATATATGGAATATTCCTTGAACTATTATCGAAGTCCCTACAGAGCCAGATTTTGCAATACAGCTGTCAAAAATTTATAATATTTTAATAAAGCGAGCGTCGTACGAAACATCGCAGCGAGTTCCGCGAAATACTATGTTACAAGAAAAGATATTTTGCCTCGTTGCACTCATATATTACCACCAAATTGTTACAACATATTTCTCGATCTATTTCCGAGGTTTCTACAAAGCCAGATTTCGCAATCAGGCCGTCTAACTTTTATCACAAATAAATAAAGATGCACCAAGCGTCAAGATGGATCACGCGAATACAATTTCACAAGAAGAGATATACCGCCTCGTTGACGATATATGTGACCGCCAAATTGATGGAATATTCCGTGAACTATTATCGAGGTCCCTACAGGGCCAGATTTTGCAATCTGGCCGTCCAAAGTTTATGAAAAATAAATGAGTCCGCCGTACCAAGCATCGCAACGAATCACTCCAAAAATTATTTTACGAGATGCAAAATTTCGCCTCGTTAACGATATGTATAATTGCTAAACTGTTATAGCATCTTCCTTGAACTATCCCTGAGAACCTTACACAGTCAGATTATGCAATCCGGCCGTCCAAAATTTATAATATATATAAATAAAGCATCAGCCGTACCAGGAGTTGCAGCGAGTCAGGTGGAATATTTTACAAGAAGCAATATTTTGCTTTGTTGACGTAATATATGAACTTGTTATAGCATCTTCCTACAGCTATTCCCGAGATCTCTACAGAGTTAGATTTTACAAACAGGCCGTCAACAATTTATTATACATAATTAAAGCGTCAGCTATACCAAATATCGCAGCGGAATACAATTTTATAAGAACAAATAAATTGCCTCGTTGACGATATATATAACCGCCAAATTATTATGGTATCTTCCTTGAACTATCCCTGAGAACCCTACAGAGCCAGATCTTACAATCCGGCCGTCAAAAATTTATCATACATTAATAAAGCGTCCGCTATACCAAGCGTCGCTGCGAATCACTCGAAATATCATTTTATGAGATACAATATTTCGTCTCTTTGACGATACTCTCTTTGACGGTATTATTACCAAATTGTTGAAGCATCTTCTTCGTACTATTCCCAAGATACAAAGCCGGATTTTGCAATCCGGTCGTCCAAAATTTATAATATATAAATAAAGTGTTCGTCATACCAGGCGTTGGAGCAAATCAGTCAAAAAATCATTGTAGGAAATTTCACCTCGTTGACGATATGTTTCACCACCAAATTGTTATAGCATCTTCTGTGAACTATCCCCGAGAAATCTACAGAACCAGATTTTGCAGTCAGGCCATGAAAAATGTATCATAAATAAATAAAGATGTATGAAGCGTCGGAGCGGATCACGTATAATAGCATTGTACAAAATGAGATATATTCCTTCACTGATGTAATATGTCATCAACATATTGTTATAGCATATCTCTAAAACTATTCCCAAGATCCTCACAAAGCCACATTTTGCAATCAGGCTGTCCAACTTTTATTATAAATAAATAAAGATGCATCAAGCGTTAAGACGGATTATACGCGAATACAATTTCACAAGAAGAGATATTCCGCCTTGTTGGCGTAATATATGTAACCGCCGAATTGTTATGGAATATTTCTTGAACTATTATCGAGGTCCCTACAGAGCCAGATTTTGCATTCCGGCTGTCAAAAATTTATCATATATTAATAAAGCGTGTGTCGTACGAAACATCGCAGCGAGTCCCGCAAAATACCATGTTACAAGAAAAAACATTTTGCCTCGTTGCTGTTATATAACAGCACCAAATTGTTATAACATATTCCTCGATCTATCCCCGAGGTCTTTACAAAGCCAGATTTCGCAATCAGGCCGTCTAACATTTATCATATATAAAAGACTGTACCGGGCATTGTAGCATGTCACGTACAATACAATTTTGGAATATGAAAAATATTGCCTCGTTAACGTAATATATCACCATCAAATTGTTCGGCCGTATTCCTTGTTTTATTTCTAATCGTCGCTCTAAAACAGGATTTTGATTATTAACACATATATAGAGTCATCGAAAAATATCGGACCCCCCTAATATCTTCAATTAGAATGCATTTTGGAGAATGTCCAATAGCAAAATTGTATGGTTTCAAGTGGGGAGTAAGATGATGACCTTGACTTTGACCTCGATCATGTCCTTCAAGGTCATTTCAAAGTCAACCTTATTTTTTTAAATGGAACCCCCAACATTTTATTGCACATTCTTATAGCTTATCTCGAGAGCTTTCCAAAACACTATAATAAAATGTTTTTTCATTAAGTACTTTTTGAGTTATAAAGGTTTGAAGTTAACAATTTGTTAAGTGGTGTGTGATTCCGGTCAGTTAAGGCAAGAGTGGTGTATGATTCCGGCCAGTTAAGGCAAGAGTGGTGTGTGATTCCGGCCAGTTACGGCAAGAGTGGTGTGTGATTCCGACCAGTTAAGGCAAGAGTGGTGTGTGATTCCGGCCAGTTAAGGCAAAAGTGGTGTATGATTCCGACCAGTTAAGGCAAGAGTGGTGCGTGATTCCGGTCAGTTAAGGCAAGAGTGGTGTGTGATTTCGGCCAGTTAAGGCAAGAGTGGTGTGTGATTCCGGCCAGTTAAGGCAAGAGTGGTGTGTGATTCCGACCAGTTAAGGCGAATTTCATTCCAATTGGTCAGCTTGGGCAAAATATTCAATTGTACCAAACAATTCACAACAAATGTTCAAATTGTTGCCCTTCAACAGCCTGGCAATATGCCAATCTGTTATAAACAGCTGAAACCGCATTTCGGTACGTTTCCGGCGGTATTAGTTCTATCTCTCGAGTTATTCTCCCTCTTAAATCATCTAAATCTTGAGGCTTTACTTAAAAAGTAAAGTTTATGCCACCAAGCGTCTTGACTTTTGTTAACTGATTTTTGGAAATTTCAAAATCATGAAATTAACAAAAATCAGGGCACTATTGTAACAATATATTCTTGAGACTAAATAAAGCAAGAAAGTCTAGTACCACTTTTTCTTCCGACAAATAGTTTGCGAGATATCGTAAGTTAAATATTGAAAAAGTTATCAAGTTTTCCTCAAATATCTCAAAAAATATTAGGCAAATAAAAAATGTTTTAGACAAAAGTTGTTCAAATTAATTGGTAAAAAAAACAGTGCAATAAAAAATAAAGTTTCCCATTTAAAAAACGCAAGTTGACTTCCAAATGACTTTGAAGGTCATTGGCCTTGAGGACCAAGGTCAAATTCAAGGTCACCATCAAGTCCGTTACTTGATTTTTTACAACATTTTTATTTAAAGTTTTTCATGAAAACTTGATCTTGCAAAGTTATTCGAGGGTTCCGGTATTTTTAAGACACCCTATATAGCGTATTATACTTGAGGACATACTGTATAGATATATTTTTGCAGATAATGGTATGATTGTTGACTCAAATGAAATTAACGATGAACCATTGACCGAGATCCTTCGAAATGAAATGTTGATTGGCGAAGTCCAAAAGCGAGAAGCCTTATGGAATTTTAAAATCCCTGTTGCCGAAATGGGCAGGAGTATTGTTCAGAAATTGTGAGAGGAGGTAGTGTCTGCTATGAATGGTATGTTAGTTAAACACAGTCGTATTTCTTCATATAAAATATTCTCGAAACAATAATCAGTTTGCAATTTTTCTTATAGGTAACATCAGAAATGTTAATGAGGCCAAGAATATATGGAAAAAACTCCGTTACAATTAGGCGAATTTTAATACCGGAGAGCAATAGCAAGAAAAGCGGCTCGGCTGGTAGTGGAATGAAAAAAATAAATGGTCATACTATGAAATGATGGCCTTCACTAAAGATCTCTTCATCGACAATAGAAAGTAAATAATAAAATCATACATATAACACATTGTTTGTAAATGAATAATACATTTTTAATTATGTATCTTGCCTATTATTTATAGAAGAAGTTCCAATATATCAGTATTAAACCTGTACAATGATGATATAATGATGTCGGTTGCATCGACCAGTTCATCTTCATAAGTACCAGAAACAGAGGCAAAAAAGAAACGTAAGTCTATATTTTGATTTTTGGCAGAGTTTAAGGAAGGATTATTAGAACGAAGAAAAGTTGTATTGATATTTTCTTTAAATATGCGCATATGAAAAAAATATCTCTTGAATTAGCACGTAATAGTAAGTTACAGATTTAAAAAAAATTTCAATATAACTTTTCTTCGTTCTAACAATCTATATGTGCGCATGCGACGAAAAGTCTCTTAATTATACGTATAACTAACGTATAACTAATTCAATTCAAAATATATTTTTATTGCATGTGTTACGTCCTGGAGGAGGAACGCAACTTGACGCTTGCTTTCGCAAGCTCCGGCGTACTCGCAAATCTGCGGAACAGATCAAGGATCGGAATGACCCCTTTATCTGGCGCAGACGTACGTCGGTGGTCCTTTATTTAGGTCAAGGAACTGAATCCTTTTATCTGGGATAGGACCATGAGCGACAGTTCAGGGAAGGGAGAATTTTTGGTTGAGAATAATTATTTGGAAAACGTGATTGGTTTGCAATTACAAACAACTTGTTTTATTAGTGATTAACGGAAGTTCACAATGAAATAAAATTTGTAAGATTTTATAATGTGTCTGTATACATATGTGGTTAACAATCGCGCTCAGAACAATGATTCTCGATTACTCAGAACAATATTCCGTGTTCGTTATGTCTGACTGTGATCGAAAGGATTGGGCCACTGACGTCTGATTTAACAATTAAGGAGGAATGCCAAGGAGGATAGAAAACGGAAGTAAAACGAAAGGAAAAGAAAAGAGAGAGAAAAAAAGAAAAAAAAATGAAACGAAAGAGGTCGCTCAGGTAAAAGAAAATATAAGTAACTTACTGCTGGACTTCTCTGATCTTAGTAGACAATGAAAGGTGTGGTTGCTGCGTCTCTGTGAGGATGGACCCAAGTTGCGCCAAGGACTAGAAACTGGTCTCAGCAGGATCTCTCGCAATGTCTCAAGGGTGCACGAGATCGTTGCACAGAAGAATAGATGACTGAAGAACACTGATCTGACTCACTAGGGTTGGTTATCAAAAAACCCTGAAGGGGTGGAGAGAAGGCTCTGTCCTGGCTGCGGGTCGGTCGGGAGAAAAAATAGAAGTGGCATAGCTTTTTATTTTACCAAAAACGTCGCCTCGGTCGAGAGGTGGGGTTTGGGAAGTTGCGTCAGGCTCCAAAGTTTATGTCCAAATATGGGTATAGGATTTTGTTGCAAACTTTTCGGAAGTGGGGTTTTAGTAAGGTTCTTAGATAAATATGATAAAGGATCGGGTATCTATGGCAGTAAAAGATTTCAAGGTTTCACTAGGGTTAGTCAGAGGTTGTGCGCGATAGGAATTTATGAATAACGTGGGAAACGCGTGAGTTTCCGGAGATCAAAGGCTGGCAACATCATATGACAGCATGAAAGATTGTCTGGTCGGTCCGTCTTCAAAGAAAATTATTGCTCCGAACGGGAAGTTATTTAAGGTTATTTGGAGAGGAGGTATATGGCCAAAATGACTCAACGGATCTTTTCCGACGGAAACAGAGGAAACTCTGGTGATTAACGCAGAGAGAAAAGGAAGAGAAATCTGTGTGTGTGACGTCACAGTTCTCGGAGGGTCGCGGAATGTGAACATTTTGGTAGTATAATATAAAATGCAATCCCCCCTACTTGACAACAAATTCAAAGTACGCGGAGTCCGCAGGACGTAACACATGTACATATAGATTTTTAAATTTAGAATTCAGTTATTTGACAAAAAGTTGTATTAAGTCCATGTACTTTTATAGAATTGTCTCTCCTCTTCCGAATAAGAAAAGTTCTGAAACATTAAATGTTGAAATGTTGAATGCAGAATTCATTACTGTTTTTTTCAAAAAAGAAAAAATTAATTATAACTAAACCATACTGTTTTCTTTACGAATAAGTTCAGATAGATAAAAATAAAGCTATTTCCTCCAAAGATACAAATTATATCTTTTAGAAAAAGTACATTTTTATAAATTTTATCTGAAATAAAAACTATGGTCTGGTAAATTATAATTCAGAACTTTTCCTCTTTGGAAAAAACTTGTATCTCTGTTTTAACTTTTAATTATAAATAAAAAATAATCCAACTTCGACTTTTGGCATTATACAAACATTGTTACAGTCACTCATCCGAGTCAAACGAAGCAATATTAATGAAACTCATTTCTTTCTTGGATGCACCTGTACCTCTATAGCCTGAACTCGTCTTACCACCATTACTTGCTATGCCACTGCAGAACGACGAAATAGAAAACTTAATAGGACTAGTTCGGGCAGCGTTAAATAGAATACTTCTTTCGAAGAGACATGAGTTTATTGTAAAATTACTTACATTTTTATATTCACGCGAAAACTTATAAATAAAAAATGTTTTTCAAAAAATATATTATTTACAAAATGTATATTAAGTAATATATGTTATTAATCTATTTCGAGCTTCTCCCCGCTGGCGAAACGATTGATTCGGACAAGTACTGTCGCCAATTAACCAATCTGAATCGAGAAATAAAAGAGAAACGTCCGATTTTGTCAAATCGCAAGGGAGTCGTCTTTCATCACGACAACGCCAGACCACACGTTTCGAAAAAGACGCTGCGCAAACTGAAGAGCTTGAAATGGGATGTCTTAACGCATCCACCGTATTCTCCTAATATCGCACCATCTGACTATCACTTGTTCCAGTCATTGCAAAATTATTTAAATGGAAAAAACTTTGACTCTTTGGAGGCCTTAAAAAACGGCGTCTCTTCGTTCTTCGAATCTAAACCGCGCAGTTTTTATGATCGAGGCATCCGTATGCTGCCAGAACGTTGGGAAAAGATTATAGAAAACGATGGAGAATATATCATTGATTGAATAAAGATTTTTGTTTGCCTAATCACTGTGTGACTTTTACTCACAAACTCCGCACGAACTTTTGCACTCACCCAATATATATTAAGTAAATATATTAAGTGTAATATTGAGTATAAATATATTAAGTACAAATGTATATTAAGTAATATAATACAAATATATTTCATATAACATAATAATAATCTCAAGTGTATTATAAAAAATTATCTTTTTGAATTTCATGATACAATAATCGAACTCGATTCTAAAATTGCTTACTTCGTACAATTCTAAAAATAATATACATTTATAAAATAATTTAAATTGTTGACATTTTGTTTAAAATTTTTGAAAACTGCCAATCAACAGCACCTTCTTCGTTGAAATATGTCATAAATTCATCTCTTATACGAGCAGCTTCGCGTGAATGCGTATTTGATTCAAGACGACATATGTTTTGCATTCCACCTAAATTGTTCATTGTATCATCACTTAATTCTAATTCGCAAGTTTCATCATCGGCGTTGTCCGCCCATATAAAATTATGCAAGCAAACGCAAGCCTCAATTATTTTATATACGTTTTCGACATTTGCAATTATCGGTTTTCTAAAAATCCTCCATTGTGACACCATTGTGAAGAATGCCAAATAGTAACCAAAAAGTAATTTCAATCATTCTCCGTGCTCTACTCAATTGATAATTAAAAATTCTTTGATCCACACTTAATCCGCCTCTTCCAGGATATGGACGCATTATAAAAGTCGTCAACGGAAATGCTTCGTCGCCTATTAAAACTTGCAGTAGTACAGGACCATCTTCGTAAATTTGTTTAGCTGGTGGCAAATCAGCTTCTCCATTAATTAATGCCTGCCCAATAAATGATGATTTAAATATTCTTCTATCGCTTTGACGTCCTTCAGCGCCAATGTCAACTATGATAAATTTGTAGTTTGTATCATATACGGCTAATAATATTAAGCTATGACTGCCTTTGTAATTGTAGTATGTCGATCCTGAATGTTGTGGAGCCTGCAAAATATATACATTAATGTATGTGATGGTGACATGTTCTAAACTTATTACAGTATAAAATTAATTCGACTAACTTCTATCTAACAGATTATAATATATGTACAGGGTGTCCGGAATGTGATCATTAATATTTTGTGTACTGGTAGATTGTAGCCGAGAAGAAAAGTCATGTACCATAATGCCAAATTGGCAATAGTTATCGAGTTATTAATTGAAACATGTGAGCCAATCAGCGCGTAAAGAGCGCTGGGCAGCCGCCTCTTGTCGCTTGCGCTCGCTCGCTCCTTGTCGCGCGCGCACGCCTCTTATCGCTTACGGTTGCCTCTCACCGCGCGAGGTAAGCCATCTTCTTATACATAGAGCCCGTCCTTTCGCTTTCTCGTGTGCTCATTCGTTTACACATTTTTATTAATTACGGAATAAATATTGAAAAAATTGTAAAATGGCACAGGACTTTTTTAATTGTTTTAACGAGTTCTACCAGTATACAAAATATTAATGATCACATTCCGGACACCCTGTATATAAAGGGTGTTTGATAGCTGATCATGCAGACGAAAGTTGGAGATAGATTGGGTGTAGCCGAGAAGAAAAGTCATGTACCATAATGTCAAATTGGCAATAGTTACCGAGTTATTAATTAAAACATGTGAGCCAACGAGCGCGTAGAGAGCAGAGGGCGGCCGCAGTAAGTACGTAGACATTTGATACAGGCGGAGTCAGCGAGTGACGGTAAGCAAGCGCGCGCGGCGAAGGGCAACGTAAGCGACAAGAGGCGATCGCGCGCGGCGAGGAGCGAGCGAGAGCTTTTTCTTTATAGCTCGCTCGCTCTTCGTCGCGCTCGTTCGCCTTTTGTCGCTTGCGCTCGCTCGTTCCTCGTCGTGCGAGCGAGCATAAGCGACAAGAGGCGAGCGAGCGCGACGAAGAGCGAGCGAGCGCGAACGACGAGGAGCGAGCGAGCTATAAGGAAAAACCTATAAAGAAAAAGCTCGCTCGCTCCTCGTCGCGCGCGATCACCTTTTGTCGCTTACGTTGCCCCTCGCCGCGCGCGCTTGCCTACCGACACTCTCTGACTCCGCCTGTATCAAATGTCTACGTGCTTACTGCGGCCGCCCTCCGCTCTCTACGCGCTCGTTGGCTCACATGTTTTAATTAATAACTCGATAACTATTGCCAATTTGACATTATGGTACATGACTTTTCTTCTCGGCTACACCCAATCTATCTCCAACTTTCGTCTGCATGATCAGCTATCAAACACCCTATATACAGGGTGTTTGATAGCTGATATTGTTACGTCTCAGCTCCTATTTTCCCCCCTTTTTCTTATTTCTTTTTTTTATCTTTATCGAGCGGTACATCTTGCAATCTAAACTTCCGGTTCTCCCCTCCCTCGTTCGATATGGACTAGGATTATATTATGTTGACATTCGTAACGGCGACCTGTAATTGTGACTAGCATTTTATTTTAAGTTAATGCGTTAGCTTTAATGCCTTTTACTATTCCTTTATATATGGAAAACCTTGTGTTAAATTTCCGACACCGGCGTGTGTTAATTTGATATATCGATTTTGGATGACACATTTTATGTGCCAGACTCAACGTATGAATTGTGTTACTCTTTCCTGTTTTCTTTCTTTTCGGCACTTCTGTTCTATGTTAATTTGACACGTGGTTTTCTACAGCGCGCGTATGCTTTATCATTGCTTACGTAGTCTCAAGAATAACAGCCCGGTTGCGCGAGGGCTTGGCTATTATTTCTTACTATTATTCCAAATTATTTTTATCATAGCGGACAGACTATGCAGCTTCCCCATCTCTTACTTCTTAACAATAAAAATAAGCACTAAGTGTGGGAAAGTTGTGTTATAACCGTTAACAACTTTTCTAATCGTTATCTTTATAACTCTGCAGTATAAGCATTGTGATTCTACGAATCTCATAACTGTTTTGCGTCAGCAGCACGGCCCAGCTTCGCTCTCAGGAATCTCGGATGGAAGACAAGGCATATCGCGTCGTAATTCTCCACCTTGTTTCTTTCATCCGACATCTCGCTAAACTTTACATATTATCCGGTTATTAGATCAAAGTGTTAGAAATGTAGTGTAAAGAAGTAAAAACCTATCATTATAAAATTGTACTACCCCCGTTTGCCACTCTCCGTTAAAATTATTAAACTTGTGTCGAATTCGCCAGGAACGCTTCCTTGGCCTATCATTGTAAAGCGTCGTACCTAAATTCGCGATTGCCGCATTATTGTCCACCCGCGGTTGACTATAAAATTGTAAACGTTTTCATTCTAAGATAACCGAACTGTTTAGGCGACACTTTGGCGGGGTTCTTATCGTTGTTCCATCCGGAGATCGAGTAACTCGCGTCTTGCTCCGACATAAAGAAGAAGGACTCCTCGGCCCGTCGGCGAACCGCCCGCTTCTTCACTCTCGTTGAGGCCGTCACACGTTTCGGACGCGTGCTCACAAGTCTCTCCTTAACTATTGTACTTAGAGAATCTTCAAGTTCCACCATCTCGTGACGGTTTCTCATATTCTCGTATATCTCCTTTTTTTTCTTTCTGGTTCTTTCTCATTACAATTGTTGCAACCAAGTGTATTCGTAACTTCAACCAATTTCACGATCTTCTTAATTAATTCGTACAAGAAAAGACAGACGCGACTTTCGGAAGGGAGTGTGACATCGCGAGCGTTCGACGTTCCGTCATCTAAGCTGGGAGGAACGCAGGCACGTACGAGGGCTCCTTCTCCCGTTCCATTCCGACGCCTAAACAGTGACGTTCCAGCCATCCGATCACAGTAAGCCTTTCGATATCCAAGTTAATAAACAATATTTGTCTTCCTCTATGTCATTCGATGTGTTTCGCAAACCGTGTATTGTTCTCCGTACAGGGGCGCTTTCCTCATAGTCATATCCACGTTATCAAATAAATTCTATTGAATCCAATAAAATTCCACAGGACGTAACAATATACAGGGTGCACGATTTATCTGAAGACATTGAAATATCCCGAGAACTATGCATTGGATAAAAAAAGTGGTTAATGAAAGTTGTTAGTCTCGAAGGGGGACATCCAATGATACCAAACTCGACCTCCCACCCCACCCCCTGGGGGTGGGGGTTGGGGGCAACTTTGAAATCTTAAATGGAAACCCCCATTTTTTATTGCAGATACGGATTCTACGCCACAAAATACGTAAATTTTGTCCGAAACTTTTTTTTTGATTCGTGATAGATGGCGCTGTAATCGCAAAAAATTATATTTTCCGCAATTCTCCAGAAATGATCATTGGATTGAGAAATAAAAAATACCTGTTCAATATTTTTAAATCAACAAATGCCAACAACCCGTGAAAACATGGTAGAACGCATAAGAAACGCTTGCGCTGAAACTCCCGCAGATATGCTTCTATCCTGTGTACAGTCATTTGAAAAAAGGATCAATAAGTGTATTGAAGTTGAAGGTAAAAATTTCGAACACTTACTCTAATTAATTGAACAGTGAGAGGCAAGGGGACTCACATTAAAAAAGCACCCCGATCTGTGAGAGGCAAGGGGACTCACATTAAAAAAGCACCCGAAGGGAACATAAAACTACTACATCCTCGTCGTTGTTCCTGTGTAATGCTAAAAGTAGTTTCTCGGAAAAATTCAACGCTATCTATCACGAATGAAAAAAATTGTTTCAATAAAAATTTCACGTACAATCTAATTCTGCAATGAAAAATGTGGGTCCCCATTTAAGATTTGAACGTTATCACCCACCCTACCCCGAGAGGATGGGGGGGGAATAACTTTTAGTATGTTCTTTAAAAATATTGAACAGGTATGTTTTATTGCTTAATCCAATGATCATTTCTGGAGAATTGCGGAAAATATAATTTTTTGCGATTACAGCGTCATCTATCACGAATCAAAAAAAAGTTTCGGACAAAATTTACGTATTTTGTGGCGTAGAATCCGTATCTGCAATAAAAAATAGGGGTTTCCATTTAAGATTTCAAAGTTGCCCCCAACCCCCACCCCCAGGGGGTAGGGTGGGAGGTCGAGTTTGGTATCATTGGATGTCCCCCTTCGAGACTAACAACTTTCATTAACCACTTTTTTTATCCAATGCATAGTTCTCGAGATATTTCAATGTCTTCAGATAAATCGTGCACCCTGTATATAACCAATTTGTCATTTTTATTATACTCAAAAAAACCTGCAGAATATTTATGCTATATAAATATTCTACAAATATACTAACAATAAACTAGGAAATATTTCTAATAGATACTAGTAATATTATTAAAATATTATTTAGATATACCTACAATATAATACGAAATATTCTCAGTATATACTGAATAAACTGCGGAAGCGGACATAGGAACATTCTCAGTATATTCTCAAAATATTACAGTACGTATTTCGGATATTCATGGAATAATCGCAATTTACGTTTGCGATATATTGAGAATCTGCTTAGAATCTACTTGTGCTGTATGGATTGTGCGAATCTTTAGGTATAAAAATAATTAAATAATTGTAAAACATTGCACATAATTAACTTTTTTCATTAATTATAATGACTTTTATTAATTATAATGCCTTTGATATTTCGTTATTATAGAATATCGATCATTATACTAATAATTTTAATTGTTGCAGATTCAGAATCTTTCTCTGAAAATGAGAAAGCATCTGTCGCGGATTTCATGGAGTCGTCTTCTTCAGTGTCACTTTCTAACTCATCAATTTCACAAAGCATTGCATTCACAAGCATGCAAAAAGCCGTAGTTTCTGCTATCACACCGCAAAGACTGACACCACCAGCAGATAGTACTAAAAAGAGAAAGCGATAGACAAGTGATGAAGTGGATGCAGCAATGCTAGAATCATCCAAAAGCATCTCCTCCTTGGTCAACTCACTAGAAATTGCACTGAAAAAAATATAATGTCAACAGCATTACAATCGTAAAATCAGAATTATCTACTGCAGTAAAAAACATGATGAGTGGTATAACCATAGGATTGAGCAAAGTTCATGAAGAACATCAAATGGATTGTTTTATATCGATCCTTGCTTACATTAATGACTTTATAAAGAGATGAAACTTATGAATTTTTTAATATGCATAAGATTTCTTGACTATTTTTCTTTCCATAAATGACTTGATTGCTTTTGTTTCTATAGATGTATAAAAAAATATGTTAACTTCTTGTTTGTTTTGGAATTTATTTGAATTTATTTACTATAAAATGTTTTCATTTTACTTTCAGAACATGTTCTGACCAAATAATAAAATTTTTGTTTTCTTAGATTACATTTTTATTAGAAATATTAAAAAATGTTAATATAGAAATATTAAGAATTATATAATGTTAAACAAAATAAATTATAATGAATAAATTATAATGAACAAATTATTTTCTCTTTTCCCATTTATATCTCTGTTACAAATTCTAATTTTTCATAAAAATATTATAAATATCAATTTTAATAAATAAAAGCGTTTAAATGAAAGACATACAATTCTATATTTAACATATTTTTACATGGATGTGTAAGATATAGACGAGGAAGGACAGCACCAGCCTGTTCCGGGGGAGACACAGGAGAAAGTCCGGTCCCAACAGTTCAGGTTCGGCGGATGGAGAGAAGATAAAAGGAGACGAACGGACGGAGACAGGGCTTTTGCCATTTAGCTTGGAGACGGATAATTAAAAATAGAGTCGAGTCGAGAGACAAAGTCGGAGATCGTCAAGCTTTGTAAAGCGATATATTTTGTATAAATCGCGGTGTCGGGTACAATTGTATTTGTGTTCTTTTTACAATATATATATTTTTATATTCTTGTTCAATATAAGAATAGTTTCATATTAATCGCTCGGAACCCCTACATCCTGAACATACCCTTTTCTAACTAAGGAGGATCTTGAAGAAGAGAGATTAGAAAGAGAAAGGAATAAAGATAAACGATTGCTCTTTTTGAATCTTACAGATGTATGGTTTAAATAAATTTTTTACCATCACTCAATAAACCTATAAAGAGAAACATGACATGCATTTCTACATGCAATATAACTATATATTTAGATTATGAAATATACTGCTATGATTACATACTGTACTTTTCAATATCCACCCATGTAAACTTATATTCTCCATCGCAAGCAGCCATAAGTACCATGCTAAAAAATCCTTTATAATTGTAAAATTGGGATCCTGACATAGCAAGGGTTTTAATGCGTATGTGTTTCCCATCAATGGCACCGACGCAATTAGGGAACTGCCATTTATCCATGAATCCCTGTGCCACTCTATTCCACGAATTTTTATCCATAGTTGGGAGAAAAGTTGGTTGTAATGCTCAAATTGCTTGGCTCAATTCTCAAATTGCTTGGCAGGTCTCAAGGATTATCGTGTACACTCCCAGTAAACACTGTTATATAATTGTTATATAACCGTAATGTAACTAAATATTACAAATAATATTACAAACATGTTACCAGTAAGATACCAGTTTCTTGTAATTTCCCACTCATAAACATAACGTGTAACATAACATTGTTATATTGCGATTACATACCTAGAGAATTATTTTGTTATATTGTAAGAACCATTTTGTTATATTACGAGAAGATATGTAATATTTATATGGTATTTTATTTAAAAATAATAGGAAATCAAATTACAAATATTGATTTTAATAATTTATTTCAGTTTTTGTCAATATAAATTTTTATTACAATCCAATGTAAAAAACATTACAAGAACATTACAAACATTAAAAAATAATTTATAATCTCTGGCAAATAGATTGCAATTAAAAACTTACTAATATATATTTATACATCTATATATTATATACATTGCAGCCCGCGCATTTTAAAAGGATATTTAAAAGGAGCTAGTTTTTTATACTAATAAAAACTAAACAAAACATATGAACCTTTAGGAGAAATTACTATAAGATGTTCAAATTAACTTAATTATCTTAGTTAAATTAAGTTAATTAATTTGAACATGTTAAAGTAATTTTTCCTAACCCACGCAGCACTGCAATATTGCAGCAATATTGAAGCAATATTATAATATCGTAGCAATATTACAAAATCACAAGGTTATTATATAATATTTCAGCAATATTATCACAATATTACAGAGTGATATATCAGATTACAATATCACTGGAATATTACTGCAATGTTACAATGTGACTATCGTATGGCAACATAGTGACAATATTACAACATTATTGCGCGATGATAAATCTTATTGCAATATCATAGGAATATTGCCGCTATATTCCAGCATGACAGACCGCCACGTAATATTTCTGATTATCGCCGTAATACTGCAGTGTGAAACAATTCATATACAGGGTGTCCCATTTTAATGTCACATCACAAATATCTCAGAAACACTGCGTTAAATCAAAAAATGTTTCAGACAAAAATTGTTTGACTTGAAGGAGGACAAGAAAGCGATAGCATTTTGTTTATAAATGGCGCCACTTTTGAGATATTCACTGACAATCAATTTTCATAAATGGAAATCCGAATTTTTTATATTTTCTTTTTCTATCAATTAATTTGAACAATTTTTGTCTGAAACATTTTTTTATTTGGTTAATATTTTTTGAGATATTTAAGGAAAACTTGGTAACTTTTTCAACATTTAACTTACGATATCTCGCTAACTATATCGTCCAGCATATACATTTTCTGGTTTTACTTACATATTCTTTAAGAAAATCTTCGTCTTGTAATCGAGTTTCCATATGTCTGATATCGTTAACTGTTTTTAATGGTAAACAATTAGTAACTCGTTCTGTTGAAGACGTTATTTTTACTGAAGGTGTTATTCTGTCTATACGTTGCATAATATCTTGCATTTTTACTTGTAGTTTAGCTACCATTTTAATTACAATAGTAATATTTCCTAGAACAAATGTAACAGTTATAACCTGGTTTTATATAAAAAAAATCTACATATTGTGAAAAATATATACTTACTTTCAATATTTTTGGTTATGTTCATCAGTTCGTCATATTTATTTTTCTGGGAATTTGTATTCTCTACATCTTTTGTTGCATTCGTTGAAGTACATTTTCTGAAAACATGATTGTTTATGGGGATTATATTATAAGAAATTGTACCCAGATAGTCAAATATAGCGAATAACAAAACCCCAGAACAGAACCATAGTCTACTGTGTCTGTATTAAACTCCTGTTTTGTAGACAAAATCTGTTGCAGTAACTTTATGGTACATTAGTAGCAAAAATGGCTATTTCTATCGCCAAATTGCCATAAGATTATTATAACAGACTTTGTTCACAAAATACAAGCTTAATTTGGACACAGTAGACTATGGATCTGCTGTGGGATTTTGTTATTGGCAAAATAGTTATCTGGATAAAATGTATCATATTGTATTTCTTATATTGTTATATATAGTATTTATTTCACTACTTACTTCTTTTATTATCGTTAATACTTGTACGTGGCGAAACTGATTGATATTCAGAACGTTCTGCTGTTATAGAACGAGGCCATTGTGGTATTTCAGTTGGACTTTTCGATACGTCACTTTGATTATCACTTATGTTCTCTTTTTCGGAATCGCTCTCTATATGAATATCCTTAGTGGATAATTTTTTTTTGTATTTGTTCCTTGATTGTCCTTGTTCTATAATTATATATATATATATATATATATATATATATATAATGTATGTATATATATATATAGTGTGTAATAAAAAACACTTCTCTTTTCAAGTATAATATATACTCTGCAATAATATATATGCTTCTGTATCTGTATAATATATACATTTGCAAATAATAGAATTCTACAACAAATTCATAACCCTTATCTGCATTAAGCTCATGTTCTACAAATAGCATCTATTGAAATAATTTTACAGCAGTTTAGCGAAAAAATAGCTATTCCTTGTCATAAACAGACATTACAACAGTCATTATAACAAACATTATCCGCAGAACATGAGCTTAATGTGGACACAGTAGGCTATAGATCTACTGAGATTTTATTATTTGCACAGATTGATTAGATATGATTTAAATATATTCACAATTTATATATTGTAAAAGTTATGTGGTAAGATTGCTATTTATATTTACTTTTGTCTTTTTTTGAAATTTCTTGTGAATGTGATGAAAATATTAAATCAGCAGTTTTATCAGTTTTATTTGTAGGCAAATTCCCTGACTGCCAACATTGTGATATCTTTGTTTGACTTGTTTCATTATCCATATCATCTAGGTTCTTGTCTTCGTTATCACTATCGTTATCTTAAAAAAATTGCTTGGGCACTTTTTTTCTATACCCTTTTCCCAAATCAACTTCATCTGTGGAAGTATAATTATTATTTTCCGCAACTTTTTGAGCTTTGCCCAATGTACCTTTAAAGATGTAGACATATATTAAAGTTACAATGAAACATTAATAGAGAAGCTTATCTGTATTTATCATATATTCTTACTACAGTATTTTTCAATTAATATTGGATGTTGCATCCATGTTTTAACATCTGGTTCAGTACGTTTTAATATTAAAGTTGATAAATTTTTTGTTTTTGTTGTTGGCCACCAACATACTGTTTCATTCTGATCTTTTTGAATCCAATTTGTTGGAACTTCATTTACTGCACTATCATCAAGAAATTTTACCACAGCATAAGCCATATTTCTGAAATAGTACATAACATATACAATACATTACCCTGTCAGCCAAGACTACGAATAACAAACTCTCAAAGCAAATCTATAGCTATCTGTGTCTGCGTTAAGCTTATATTCTGTAGATGTCTATTGAAATAACTTTATGACAGGTTCCAATGATCACTCTTGCCATTTACCTACCATAAGGTTATTTCAATAGATGTCTAAAGAATACAAGCTTAAAACAGACACAGATGGCTATGCATTTGCATTCAGACTCTATTATACGCAGATTTAGCTATCTGGATAATTAGTATCATATAATACATGTAAGAATATTTCTTTGAACTACTATAATTTTGTAAAATTATTCAATGTGTTGTAGAGCTTTAAAAGCCAACCGCACATGATGTTTTTGGCTGAATTGCTTGCATGCTCTTGTGCTGGAAATCTTCCTGTTTTGCTGGAAACTATTATGCAGTTTGTTGACTACTTTACTAGATTTTCATAATAACCCAGGGCCTATTATCACAAATCCAGCAGAGTGGCCATCAGACTGCATAATTTCAAGCAGATTTTTAGCACAGAACACGCAATCTAGTCAAAATCACACTTTATGCACTTAACTTAATAATCTCTCATATATTGAAGTTTTCAATTAATTTTATAAATGTTGAAAACAAAATATGGAAGTAAGGTTATGTAACATATTGACGTTTTAAAAAAAAACTTAAACTTATTCCTTAATTATAAATATAATAGATAATAATACTAATATTATGATAATTATCCAGTTTAGGGGCTCCGCCTTAGAATTCGATAAAAATAGACTCAATCAACGCGTTTTTTAATAAGGAGCAACTTTTTCCTCTGCGAAAATTGTCGCTCTTCACTGCGAAACGAAATAAAAATAGTTAAAGTTGACTGGTATAATAGGTTAGGAAATCTGTCAAGATTCTGGATGGGTTCGCAACTTTCCACGCGCAACGAGGACGGGGTAGGTGCGGAAGGGGGGCCGAAGGCCCCCCCCTCGTACCCCCCGCGTGGGTATGTGTGTGTACATATGTTGAGGCATTTTTATTTATTAAACCAACGAATATTGTACACTTATTAATTTAGTAAAGCAGAAAATTTTAGTACAATTTTAATAAGATAAATTTAAAAAATTAAAAATAAATGTGGAATCGATAGTTATGATCTTTAATTGTTAATAATTTTTTTTATGACGAAACTGTTAAGTTAATGACATTTGATGAAAGATATTCACCTTATTACAATTGTACTAAAATTTTCTGCTTTACTAAATTAATGAGTGTACAATATTCGTTGGTTTAATAAATAAAAATGTCTCAACATATGTACACACACACACACACACACACCCACACGGGGGGTGCGAGGGAGGGCCTTTGGCCCCCCTCCCGCACCTACCCCGTCCTCGTTGCGCGTGGAAAGTTGCGAACTCATCCGGAATCTTGACAGATTTCCTAACCTATTATACCAGTCAACTTTAACTATTTTTATTTCGTTTCGCAGTGAAGAGCGACAATTTTCGCAGAGGAAAAAGTTGCTCCTTATTAAAAAACGCGTTGATTGAGTCTATTTTTATCGAATTCTAAGGCGGAGCCCCTAAACTGGATAATTACCAAAAACTCTTATATATACAGTCGTTATTTATGTGTAATATACATTGTGTATTTTTTCAGGGACAACGTAATTTTAAAGTTTCTCAGTGATTGTGTTGTGAATTAAATTCCACGAAAATAGCTTTGTAATAAGTAATAAAATATAAAGGAAAAACCCAATACTCTAAGTCAACATATTATAATTATTGAAGAATATAGAATATTTATCATTAAGATTAAAACATCCCATCATACGTGGATTTCATATACCTAAGGCTCGCGGACAACGGACGCTTCCACATTCCTTATGGCTCGTACACAACAATATAATTATATATGAAATATTGTTATATCCTATAAGAGTAACAATGTTACATTGCAGTAATGTTTCATACAACGATAATGTAATATTATACTTGTTATACAGATAATATGTTGCAATGATATAACATACAAATAACTTATGTTATATTACTTGTTCTTTACATGTTATATTGCTGCAATGTATAGTGTTTACTGGGTTATTACGTTAAAAAAGATCTATATAAAATTTGAAACGTTTCTTATTTTTGCTGTGTAGCTTTATTCTAATCTATTTATTATTTATAATATGCATTAATATTTAAATATACCTTGATGTAAGTAATTATATATTTCATTATTATGTTATTTATACATACCTTTTTTTAATTGTTCGTGCACTTTTGCAGAATCTACAATATTATATATGTCTTTATATGTATATTGTGCTTCATATAAATTGGAGGCATCCATCTTGCTCAACACGTTGTGCTTAGATTCAGCTTACTTGTTTGGTCTGTTCTTTGTAGCTGCACTGCTGAACTGGTGCAATAAGCTAGAGTGAGAAAACCTATATTTGTTTCACTTTAACTTACTGCACCAGTTCAACAGTGCAGCTACAAAGAACAGATCATTAGTTCGCTGAAAAACATGGCGACCGCTGAGTAAGCACGTTGAACCGCTGAGTCCGTTTAGTACCGTTTAGTTCAGAAGATAATCATAAAACGGTTCTGCAACTGTTTTATCCTGCAGCCATTGTATCATATTGTGAATCTCCGATTATAAGATCTGCGCTTGCCACTGTGATGTTTAGAGTATAAGCAAAATCAAGTCTAAATTAGAGAAGTTCCAAATGAAAACTTGGCGATATATTCTCGAAATCAAGGTATAGTTAATAGCTTTAATATTTCATGTAACTATTAACATTTTTTAAGTGTACGTAATATTGTGAGACTTATTGTTTATTAATTATTCAAAATAGAACGATCTTGTCAAAGCAATACATTTGTCATAGTGATAGTTTTATGTTAATAATATAGAAAGGAATTTGTATGATTAGAAAATATTAACTTTATATTTTTTGTTTTAATATAGTGATTAATATAGATCATCGTGGCTTCCCAACAAATACAATATTATATGTAACGTGCATGTTAGTTGTAATTTTCTACTCAACAATATAACTGTTATATAATACATGTGTTATATAACAGTTATATTGTTGAGTAGAAAATTGTTGAAAAATATTGTTCAGTAGGAAATTACAACTAACATGCACGTTACATGTAATATTGTGTTTGCTGGATTCAGCTTACCCCGAGGTACATGCAGCTATATAGCACTTGTAACTTTGTATTGGAGGTTAAGATTATATGTATAATACACTGCCAGCTATGTATATACATACTCTTACATATATTTCAGGTTTATTTTAGATCATACGGCAAATTAACGACAAAATGTTAGTATTCAAATAAAAGATTAAATTCAATATTGTAAATTTTCATTTTTTAAAAATATATATTCTGTATTTCATGCATACTCTGGCATTCATGAATGTCAAATTCAATGGAGATTTTGGTGATTGAGGTCTTGTTGCTTTTACTCGATAAAAATGAGAAAGTATGCTATTTCCAAAGTGACTAATGATAGATACAAGAAAGAATAAGTCAGCAAATTGCAAGGTGAGAACAGGCCTCTGGTCATATATATTCATTTATATCCATTTTATTTGTAATGAGTATGATTATGAAAACAAAAAACTCTTTTCTAAATCTATGGCAATTTTTTGGTTAATATCATAGCAGGCAATTATATCATAAACTTAGAGATCAATTTACTTCACTAGAAATTCATAGGCAATTTCTCTAACATTCTATATAGCTAATTATATATAGTTAACTATATATAAGCAATTTTTTAAATTACCAATTATAAACAAATGAATTATTTAATTTACCATTTTGTATCTAACTTATGTTTATAATACTATTTATTCCATAATTTTTTTAATGCAATCTTTCCAGCTACTTTTCTATGATTTTACATTGTCAGACAAGTAATTATTACTATCTTTGTCTTATCATAGTTAATTATATATAGTTAACTATATATAGCTAATATATAGCTATGAAAGTATTTGTAAGAATAATGAAAAGACAGATCAAATAAAAGAAAAACAAATTATAAAATAAGAGTTAAAATAACAAGCAAAACAAATATAGCTATTATATGAATATAAATTCGAATTCTATATTTAATTTGGATTTAAGAACATATACAGATATCTATATATATGTACATAGACACAGATACACATATACAGAGTATACACAAGTTCAGTATAATTTTTTATCACATGCATTGCCGATTTAGCATTGCCGACAGCATTGTAGTTAATTGAGTCGTGTATAGATATTGCATGCATCATGTCATTATAGACAAGTTCAGGTGATTGACTTCTTAGCTACTTGAGCTAAGATCTCTACGAAAAGCTATACATACTTAATGTGGAAGTGCATTATAAAAACATGACAATAGAAACATAAAAATTATGTCTATAGCAGGGAAGATTTTAAGATTTATATAACATTAATTTTATTACATTTTTATAATGCATTATCACGTTAAATATCTCCATATACCATAATATCTTGGTAACTATTTGTCGGAAGAAAAAATGATATTTTACTCTACTATATTTTACTCTATTTGACCTCAAGAATATACTGTTACAATAGTGCCATAACCTTTGTTAACTTAATGACCTTTGGAAATATCAAAGTCAAGTTAACAAAAGTTATGGCACTATTATAACAGTATATTTTTGAGACCATATAGAATAAAGTATAGTAAAATAGATTAAAATAATACCATTTTCTTTTCTGACAAATAGTTACCAAGATATTGTAAGCTAAATCTTGAAAAAGTTACCAAATTTTCTTTAAATATCTCAAAAAATATTAAGCAAATAAAAAAATGTTGCAAACAAAAGTTATTTAAAATAATTGGTAGAAAAAGATAATATAATAGAAAATTGGAGTTTCTATTTAAGAAAAGTAATGATCAATAAATATCTCGGAAACGGCGCTATTTGTAAACAAACTGATATAGTTGTTTTATGTCCCCCTTGAAACCATACAACTTTTGTCTAAAACGTTTCTTAGTATCTTTCATATTTTTCAAGATTTTTGTTTTACGATATTTCGCTAACTATTTGTTGGAAGAAAAAGTGATACTAGACTTTTTTGCTTTATTTGGTCTCAAAAATATATTGTTACGATAGCGCCCTGACTTTTATTAATTTGATGATTTTGAAATTTTCAAAAGTCAGTAAGTTAACAAAAGTCAGGGCACTATTGTAACAATATATTCTTGAAAAAATATGTTCTTGAGATGCATGCAATATCTATACGTGACTCAATTAACTATAGTGTTGTCGGTAATATTAAATCCTGTGGTAAAAAGTTACTCTTGTACACCCTGTATATATATATATATATATATGGGGTATTCTCTATTAAATCAGTTATCCCCTTGCGCATCTCAGTTTTCGATATAAATTATTTTTATAGGGTGCAAAATTTTCGTTGCAATGTCTATTTTTTTATGCCGTCTGGTATTTTTGGTGCCGCAAGATGGCGGCGCCATAATATAAACCGAAACGAGCATAAGCCATGAAAACGGCCATGAAAGCCATGGAAAATCTTGCTACAAATTTCGAGGTTTCCAATTTTTCACTTCTAAAACTTAAAAACTCGGTAAATATCCAAGGATGAGATTTGGATCGATGGCATTTTGGAGATATGAGGAAGT